ATGCATATATCCACTATGATATGTATCAGTAAGAATTACAACCAATGGTTTCTGTAAGATTTCCCCATTAAATATAAGCTTCTCAAGAGTAATGAGTTTCTTACTTAGGCTCATATCTCTAGCACCTATCATGGCTACTGAAGGTGTCCAATAGTAATTGGTTCAGTAGTGCAATGTGTTTCCTACAAGTAAAATGAAATCATAAATCAGACTTCACACACTGTAGCTCAAGTTTGCTAACTGTGACTCTGGTCTGAGGATGAAATATTCTGCCAATGGCAGAGATCCATCAGCCTTGATCAACTGATGAGGTAACAGATAAATGCTTAGACATAGGCATCTCCATGTTTTCATGATGAGCTCAATTTTACTTTTTGTTAGTGTTGGGTTTTCGCCTGTCCTGGGACTGCTCACTACAGTTTCACCTAGGATCTTAGGCCAGAGCCAAATAGTCTTTTCTAACTTGTGTGATATTCCTTCATCTTGGACCTTTCAGGCTTAGGACTTGGGGGAATAATATACTATTATAATACAATATAAAAAACAAACAAACAAATAAATAAGTAAATGTGTGTCATTCCATTAATTTAGGAGAGTCTCCTAAACCAAAAATCTGAAACCTGGATGATTATTGTTACTCAGAAACTAAATTCATCTCTGGGTCCTGCCCATATCTACTGAAATGTTAGTCTTCCCTGTTTCTAGAGTGCTCATAGTGCACTGGAGTTTTCATTCCTTTCTTATTTCATAAACACAGTGATGAGTACTCCACATAGATTGTTTCATTAAATTTAAGTAAATTGCATCTTTTTTAGTCTTCCACCCAAATAAAATACAGTCCCACTAAGGGCAATTGTTAAACAATTAATGAAAAGGGCAAAGATGTTTTTATATTTTAAAACAAGATCTCATGCACTTCATCTAACTCACTAAGTAGCTAAGAATGATCTTGTAGTTCTGATTTTCCTAGCACTATCCCTGAGTGCAAGCATATGTTGATGAGGTTTTGTTATTGAACTCAGCACTCTGTACATGCTAGGCAGGCAGTCTACCAACTCTACCCACATGCTATTTTAAACAAACTTTTTTTAGGCACAGAAACTATTTTGTGAAACCTTAAGACAAAGACATTAGGATCCTAACAGGAAAATGTATCAGTCATCTTTTGCCAATTTATTTCACAATCAGTTCTTCAAGGTTGTCCTTTACTCTGTTCCAGGTCTGAAGGCAGCATACATACATGTTGTGTGCCCTTCTTTGGAATCACAGACGCTCCTGCAGGACCTATGTGTGCATGGGCATGTACATAGCTATCCCCAAATCCTCAGGATTCTAAATGGAAACAATATGAACTCAACAAGACACAGCAAAGACAAAAGTGGAGTCCTTCCTGCTCACGGCTTCCTTCTGACCATTCTTAAAGAAAGATGGAGAATGATGCATCTAAGAAACCAAGTGTGTTCAAACAATGAGAAAACACTGAGAGGATTCAAGATTCACAGAAAAGCCTTGCAGTGACCTGACTGCTGTGGAGGAAGAATGAGCTAGAGCAAAGTATCTACCAGTCTTCTCTCTTCCATCCCTTGTGGGGGAAATCTTTCCAGAATATTGCCTCTCTTATTTATGTTCTCAAAGAATCAATTTTTTTTCAATGTAATCCTTAGTCATTTATCTTGTTTTGTTCTTTTTGCTATTGATTTATGTCTTTATCTTTATTGTTTGTCTCTCTTCCTATGTCTTTATTCTTTACTGAGGTTCTGCTGTCAAATGAAATACTGTGCATATTTGCATACAAATACCTTGCATTGATAAATGATTTAGAGTCACAAATCATTCTGTGAATGCTATTTTAACAGTCAAAATTCTGATAAAAATAATATTTTCAGTTCTAAGGCTTTAAGGCTTTTGATTTGTTCTTTAAGAGTCAGTTACTTTGTATCATCAAGAGGTTGAAATTAAACCCGTTTTGACTCCATGTTGATCGAGGCTTTAGGGCTGGGTTAACAGAAGCCAGTCTCATTGCAATAATTCCTCATGTCCTTTCCATGTATTTATTCCTAAATATTTCCACTGTGAAGATACTTTGCAATATTAAGGAACCATGGAACTAATATATATATATTTACATACATACATCATTGATATCAAGATGCTGCAACTTAGAGAGGAAAGGGTTTATTAGGCTTATACTTCCAGGTCACAGTTCATCATCGAGGGATGTCAAGAGAGGAACTCAAGCAGGAGTTTGAAGTACAAACCATGGAGGAATGTTGCTTTCTGACTGACTTACTGACTTGCTCTGTGGTTTATGCTCAGTCCAAGCTCACCTGCCCAGGGATGGTACTACCCACAGTGGGCTGGGCCCTCCTACACCTACACTACAGTGAGTGTTCTGTGTCTAGGGATCCATAGAGTCAACAAAGCAAAGATGAAAAGTATTTTAATAAAATATTGATTGTAGTGAACAGGTATGTCTCTTGTTATTCTTCCCTAAATAATACAGTACCACAACTCCTTATGCAGTGTTCCCCTTACACTAGGTAGTGCACAGAACAGAGAAGTGGATTGAGTGCAAACACTGCTCCAATTTACATAAAGCACTTTGGGATCTGCTGGGGTTCATAGAAACAGATGACTGCACAGTCCAAACAGAAACCAAGACCTTATTCCAACATAGGTTTAGAAGCTGGCTGCTACAGAGAGTGCTCTGTTCCTTTGCAATTCTTGGGAAGAACATCCACTACTTCAGAAACCATCACTTTATATGTTATGAAGTGTATATCAATATGCTCTCCAGAGAAAACTCTGACCACAGAAGACTAGATTGAAATAATAGTCTACTCTCTGGAAATCACATATACGCAGAAACACTCAGCTGGTCTGTAAAGACTTGATATTTATTCTGCCCATAATTAAAACTCTAATTTTCCAATAAGTCTGCCCACAGATAGATGGCCACTTATTTAGCCATTCATGAATGGCTGAGTCATCCCTGGTCACAAGCCCTAATACTGTACAAAAAGGAAATGGAAAAACACTCTGGATTGTAAGCAATCAAAATGCCACCCGAAACCAACAACATGGTTTAATTAAAAAGAGAAAATCCATAGCAATTCATTTTTATCCTTTCTCCTCTTCACATAAGAAAATAAGAGGTAATACAGGGAAGTAATTAAAATAAAGTCTCCTTTTGCCCTCAGGGTGTCTGAGTAGAACCTTTGCCAATGAAATAATTAGCTTGAGATTTCTCATTTTTCTCCCTTTGTCCTGGGGAAATTGCTTCCAGTCTTTCTTTAGAAACAATGCAGTGTCTTGCTTCTTCATTTAACTGTGGACTTCTAAGAAGCTCAGTAATCTTGTTATTCTGTGAAAAGCTAAGATTGAATGTTATAAGGCCAATGTCACCATTTGATTAGGACCCTGGACTGGACTGAGAAAAAAAAAAGCCCAGTTTCATAAATGACAATGTAATTCTATAACTTCTGAGATGAGGTGATTGTCCTGAAGTCAAAAGTGGGTGCAAATGAGTGACCTCAGATTGCACTCTAGAATGTTCTCTTGTAGCAAAATATGAGCAAACAAGAGGATTCACTTAGCACAAAATATCAATCTCTCTGCAAAACTCCAACTGCACGCTACTTTCCAACCATGATCAGACCCGAAGAGAAAAGATGCCTGCAACGCTAGCCTATACACAGGAGTTGTGTTTGTTTACCCACACATGCCACATCCACACACACACACACAAATAATACCTGGCTGTCCCAGTTTCCTTCCTGTCATCTTAGAGAAGAAAGAATTAACTGTAGCTCACAATTCCAGGTGACAGGCCATCATTGTGGGGAGGTTAAGGCAGTAGGGCAGGGTAGTGGTTGTCATATCACAGTCACACTCAAGAGCAGAAAAGGATTAATTAATGCATGCATCTGACTGCTCGGCTACCTTGCTCCTCTTTTACGAAGTCCAAGACTCAAAGTCAGGAAATGGTACTACCCTCTGCTAGACAGGTTCTTCCTACATCAATCAACAGAATTCAGAAAATTTCTCACAGGCAGGCCTACAGGCCAACTTGATCTAGACAATCCCACGTTGAGGCTCTATTCCCAGGTGATTCTAATTATGCCAAGGTAACAATTATAACTATCATATCATTGTAGGAAAAACCCCTACTGGGCAGTATTACACAAGGCACACATGCATGCATTCAGAAATTGAGATAAAGAAAGCAGCAAATCCCAGTGATCACACAATGAAAGCCTGTGTGTCCTTTCCTAATGATTCGCAAGGGACCTGACATACTCTTGTCTCCAGTAACAAAAATACTAGTGAAGGTTAAAATGTTTACAGACCCTGATGCACAATCTTAAGGTAGCTCAGTAGAAAGATAATAGAAGATGGAGATCCATCATGACCTGGCGTGTAGATAAACCCAAGCAAAGTAAATAAAATGTCAAGACTGACACAGACACATGAGACAGCTTGATCACCACGATAAACAGGTCGTGTTTCAGACCCTCCCTCCCACAGCAATCAAAGTGACAGAAATGAAAGCAGCAAGATCCAGCTTAGTGGCCTCTGGGCCCTCTGTCTGAAATATATGGTGTTTCAGCAATAAGAACTTACCTTCCACCTCAGGAGAAGAACCAAGGGCAGTGACAATAGCCTCTCATGTTTTAGGAGTCTCTTGGGTAACCTGACCAACAACTCAAAAGAGGGATTCTCATGTCCAGTGTTGAAGTTTTCCTTAGATAGTCTATGGCTCTCCTACAAGCAATATTATTCAGCTGAGCTGGTTTTGCACACACACACACACACACACACACACACACACACACACACACACCAATAATAACAACAACAATTAATGAAAAAAGAGGCCATGAACTTGAAAGAAACCAAGGAGATAAATAGGAGGGTTTAGAGGGAGAAAAGGGAAGAGAAAATGATGTAATTATATTATAATCTCAAAAAAATAGTTACAAAATTAGCAGGAGACTCACTGTAGCACTCTGGAGTGACTGAGATCTTTCATATCTGAGTCCTCATAGTGGGGTGTGATCATCCCCAGCCCGCTGTCACTCAGCATGCGTTTCCTCAGGGCAGGGTTCCACCAGTCAGATAGCCTGGGCCAAAAACAGTACCAGAAAGTAATTGCACATCTTACTCTACTTTTTTCTCATAACCACCTTGTTTTAAATGTGAGAAGTAAAATCCATTTTTACTAAATACAACCTTCATATTAATCATTTCTCAACAGTTCTGAGCTACTTGTATGATTTTGTCCTTTTTTATATTGATGAGGTATTTCATTTTGAAGATTAAGTCATTTTATTACATGTGACATGAGTAAAAAATTAATGGAACCTGACACAGAAATTAATTTAGAAAATGAAAAAGCCCAACCTGGTTCTTAGCATCTTTGTTTTTGGTTTATTTCCAGAAGGCACTGTTGCTGAGAAATAAGAAATCAAGGATGGATTGAAGATCTAATGGATTTTCAGGCTATTCTGTATTTGGATCTAAGTAATAAAACTATAACCCAGGTAAAGCTGTCCCTACTTGACATGGAAAGAATAAGAGGGAAAGTCCAAAGCCACCTTAACAGATGGTTCTGTTTCTCATCAAATAAATTTAAGAGTCTTAATTATGTGGGACGAACTCTAGAAACCAGCATCTGCCTCTTCTTTGGTAGGATATCACACCAGACAGGATTCCCTCTGGTGAGTACACTTGCTTATGCTCTGTGATTATGGGTACACAATCTCTGTTTGCTTTGAGTGCCTGCATATACTTTCTTGGGCAACCTGTATTTCAGCCATCAGTCCCATACACCAGTAAGCCACTATCTATTAGACTTCACAAGGACAGAGATATTTGTCTCTTTTTATTTTTGCACTATTGGCTCTCACATGTTTAAAATAGTATCTGGTGTATAACAACCCCAAATAAGTATTTTTGAATTGTTAAATATTTTTTAAATAATTTAGACATTTTACAAGATGACATTTTAGTAAACTCACCACAGACCAGGCATTGTGACTTTACTATGAATATGATAACTGTAGTAGCATTTGTTTTAGAAACTTCCATGTTACGTGGGAATGCTTTTTTTATACTTTTCTACTACTTTTCAATTTTGAATCATTCTCAAATATTTTTAAAGATTTATTTTTTTTTCATTTAGATGTAGAGTGTGTATTTATATGTGGGTATGTACACACGTGAGTGTAAGTGCCCACAATGTCCACAAGAGGGCATCAGATTTCCTGGAGCTGGAATGTAGGTGGCATGAATACACAATGTGAGTACTGGGAACTGAACTCAGGCCCTCTGCAAGAACAGTGCATGTTCTTAACTGCTGAGCCATCTGTCCAACCTCTCAAAGAATGTTTTAGTACAGCATCCTGTGTAATTTTTCTTTACTGCTGATTAAATTGGAGGGGGGATTTAGCTACTTATTTAAATCATATGTAAAAAATCATTAAGCACTTTGATAGTAACCAAAAAAAAAAAAAAAACCTGAGAGGAAAAAAATTATAAAATGGGACATTTTTTTTTTTAGCATATGAAAAACAAAAAATAAAACCAGCCAGGCAGTGCTTGTGCACGCCTTTAATCACAGCACTTGGGAGGCAGAGCCAGGTGGATCTCTGTGAGTTTGAGGCCAGCCTGGGCTACGGAGTGAGATCCAGGACAGGAAAAAAAACTACACAGAGAAACCCTGTCTCGAAAGACAAAAAAAAAAAGTAACCAAAAAAATAAAACCTATTTTAGCTAAAACAAAATACAGGAGCTGCATGAAAAACAATGTGCTGCTTAAATCTCAGGTTTTACACTTACTTTATGTGCAGGATTAGGCAAGCAATATAACTCTAAGCCTCAATTTTCTTATACATAGATTTAGGATAATCACAGAACCTGATTGGTAGAGTCTTTATGAAATGATATAGGATGTCATGAATGTCTACTATGTGACAGAAGTCTTATGAGTATTTTGCCTGTGTCAATTTATCTACACTACAACCAATTCTCTGAGTAGGTGATGTGCTGCCTGGTTTTGTGTGTTGACTTGAAACAAGGTAGAATCATCAGAGATGGAGCCTCAGTTGAGGAAATGCCTCTGTGAGATCCAACTGTAAGGCATGTTTTCAATTAGTGATTTATGGGGGAGGGTCCAGCTCATGGTGGGTGGTGCCATCCCTGGGCTGGTGTCCTGGGTTCTATAAGAAAGCAGGCTGAGCAAACCATAGGGAGCAAGCCAGTAAGCAGCACCCCTCCATGGCCTCTGCATCAGCTCCTGTCTCCAGGATCCTGCCCTGTTTGAGTTCCTGTCCTGACTTCCTTCAGTGATGAACAGCAATGTGGAAGTATAAGCTGAATAAACCCTTTCCTCCCCAACTTGCTTTTTGGTCATGGTGTTTTGGTCACAGCAATAGAAACCCTAAGACAGGTGATATTATTATGAGTAGTCACAGATGAGGAAAAACATATTTAAGAGAATTAAGTCACTATGAAGGAAGAAAAATAATACAAGAGTGGCAGGAACAATCTAGATACTTTGTGTCAAGCAATTTAGAAACAAGACAAAAAGAACAGGATCAAATTACTTATGTCAACATTTCATCTGGATAACACACCAAATAAAACCCATATAGATGCACAGGTGGGAGTATCAGTATTTCTAGCCCTCATAATGGAGAGGCTGGGTAAATAATAGTAAATAAGACAAGGTAAGACACTGGCTGGGCAAGAGGATTCCTGCACAGACATTTAGAAGACAGCCTTACAGAACTAGATGCTACATCTTACTTTAAGGAAACATCAATAAATCTGAATTCCAAATGTTTTAGAATATCAATTCCAAAGCCAAAGGAGATAGATATAGAGGTCACACCACAGCCAGCCAATGCTGGCACTGAGTGAAGAGAAACACACTCACCCTGAAGCCTGTTCAACCACCAGGTCAGGCATTCCTGGAGGTGTCCCTGCCTGCTGTGACACTACCATATCTGGGTCCAGAATAAAAATCTCATCGTGAGAAATCTCCATCACAAAGTGCAAATGTTCCTAAGGGAGAGAAAACAAGCCTGTCAGGGTGTTGACATCACCACCCTCAGACTAAGGAAGGAACTGTGTGACACACCAAAGAATTCCACGGTTTCACCAGAAGTTTGAGCATCTGCCATCCCTCCCTAAATTAACAGAGTGGCAAACAGAGGACAATGGGAGAGATGAACCGCCCTGGTTTAGGAGTCATACCTGACCAGGATCTTGTTAGATAGAACCAGAAATGACCTTTCCCCTTCTTCTTCCCAGATGCTGTAAGATCTGGCATCCAACATGCCACCTGGTCTAGTACAAGGACATGACAGCTCGGACTTCTGCCCCAGGATGTAGCCAAAGCTAAGTGGCAATGGTTAAGAAAGAGTTGGTTTTCAATGGGTTCCATACTGTGTAGTATTTTTTTCCAGGAAAATCTCAATAGTGGGAGGAGTTTTTAGACTTGGATAAACATAATTTTTCCCTCATTATTAAATATGGGGGAAAATCTAAGTTGTCTACATATATACCAGCTAAACAAAACTGCATTTAAAAAGTATAACCTTTACTTTGGCCAGAGTACAAGTACCATGTAAATGAAAACTTAGAGTATAGGACTGTGATAATAGTTGTAATTTAAGTTATTATCTATCTTCAATATCCATTTCATTGAGCCCATGAGTCATAAGGATAAAAGCAGAGAAAAGCATTGTGGCTTAGATTATAACCACTATCCTATAATCTGGCAATGCTTTAATCTTTTCATTAGCAAAATCTGTGAGACTAGCTACCAACATAGTAAGTGCACAGACTTGGAGATGTTTCACTTTCATAAATAAGCTGGAAAGAACTTACCTGAGATCTGTCTATTCGATAAAAGCGGTCAGCAGAAGTTGCTAAGGGAAAAAAAAATATACAGGGCATTTACAGTCATTCATGCTGGTCATCAGATTTACACCTTTCTGTTGCACTATCAAGCAAAACCTTTGTAAGAAACACGTTACAGAGGTGGCCAGTCCCTAAACGATTACTAAAAAACCATCACTTCCATGTTTTGGCCACTGCTCTTCCAGTGCTCCTCAGCCCTTCCAGCCACACCGTTATCTTCATCTCACTTATGCTTAAACAATAATTCAAATGCTTCAGTCTCTGTGAAACTGTGACGGAGCAAACAGTGCAGGGGTCCATCCACCTCGAATTCTTGCTGAGGCCATTTCAGGCTTAACTAGAATTTGACCTCCTTGATGGAGAATCCATGGAAAATTACCTAACTCCATTCCAGGAACCCACGGTCAAGATGCCCTAGCTAACTTATCTTAGTTTCTGTTAAATTGCTTGCTTGTACAGAACTCCCACCTTCAGCTAACTGCTTATCTTTGCTTCTGCCAAATTGCTTGCTTGCACAAAGTCCTACCTGCAGTTGCTGATTGAGACACCAGGATGTGGTTTTTGGCCTTCAAAACCTCTGTGCTCTGGACACTCGGGGCTACAGTTATGTCTTGAGCCCCTGAGTGTAGTCCCAGTGGGCTGGAATAAATACTTTCAATTGGCTATATATACTGTGCCTGAGTGGTCATCTCTGGTGGGCTCCCCGTAACAAAACTTTCCTCCATCCCCAATCACCTACAGCAGAATGTCTGCTGCTCCAAAACCCCATGTCCACTGTCATTTTGCTTAAACCCTTTACAGAGACTGTCTTCAAAGCTGACTGTGAGACTTAAGCCTGCATCTTTAAAGGGTTCCTTTTCATTTCTTCTCTTCTGTCTCCAGGAATTAGCACAGGGCTTTAACAGAGGGGAGGGCTTAATATCTTATTAAGTAAATAATAACCTAAAAAAGAAATTGTAGTCAGACGTCCCAGGAATGTGACTCTCATTTTGGAAAACAACTTGAAGATGCAGGCCAGAGACCACATATGGCCAAAAAGAAATCATTTCCCTCCCACACTCTGCCCCTAGAGACAGGTCTGAAGGAAGCCAAATGACAAAACAAAGATTAATGTTTAAGCAATCTTTAAATGGGATTGGGATGCATCTGTGATTTGAAAAAGGAAAGTTCTGAAGTAAAGCATAGGGTGTTTTTGAAGCTAATTGATTCTTCTTAATAAAAAACAAAAAACTATGTGTTTCCTTACTTAAATCTAACAGAGCCCAAATATGAGAGTTTTTACAAATCAGACCAAAAGCAATAAAAATATAGAGCATCACAGAGAAAAGGATGCAAATATTTACTCATAATCATAAACTTAAAAAAATAACTCTGGCTTCCTCTAGCAGCAGATGGGAGCAGGTACAGAGACCCAAGCCAGACATTATGAAGACAGAGAATCTAAATCCGAGGTCTCCATTGTCTCTCCCCTCAGAGCTCAGGGAATTCAGCAGAGAGGGAACAGAAGGATTGCATAAATTGGAGAGGGATGGAGGACACCAGGAGACCATGGCCCACCGAATCAACTAAGCAAGGCTCAATGGACTCATGGAGACTGGAGTGGCAAGCACAGGCCTGCAGGGACCTGCACCAGGTCCTCTGTGTATATGTTATGGCTGTTAGCTTGGTGTTTTGCTAACAGTGGAAGGGAGCATATCTCTGTTTCTTTTGCCTGCTCTTGGGACTCTTTTCCTCCTCTTGGATTGCCTTGTCCAGCCTCGAAATGAGGGTTTTTGCCTTATCTTATTATATCTTGTTTGGTTGTGTTTGGTTTTTGTCGCTTGGAGACCTATTCTTTTTCTGATAGGAGATGGAGGGGGACTGGATCCAGGGAGAGAATAGGTGGGGGTGGGGCATGGAGGAGTGGAGGGAATGGAAACCTGGTCTGGATGTATTGTATGAGAGAAGAATCTATTTTCAATTAAAAAAGAAAAATGTAACTAACTCTCTGAAGGAAATTGGACTCAGAAATAAGAGAATCAAAGTACTGCTTAAAAACCTAAGTCTAAAGCAAGCAGCCCAAGTAGGACTTCTCCTTCTCTCTTCTTTCAGCTATGACTTCAGCCTTGATGTCAACCAAGAATTAATCATGAAGGATTCTTTAATACATAAACATATCATTTTGTATGCTTACTTAAAAAAATTAAAAACAAGTGCTCAAAACAATGAAGAAAGGTTTACAATAGAACTCTCATATAGCAAAAACAGTTTCATAGCTAAAACCATTATCCATAATACAGTTTTATCTAAGCCTATATATGGAACATAATGACTTGTGTAAATACTTCCTTGATTTCCTTAGATACATACTGCTTCCCTGTGAGTGACTCTGGGAGTGAGAAATGATTGTGCTTCCCACTGCTATGGATTGACAGGAATTGGAGGGAAGTAATCAGTCAGCTAAGTTAGGAATGGAAGCCTGTATCCTGGTTGATGTGTGCTAGATTTGGTAGATACAAAGTGACCTTGTGCACTAATCCATATCCACTCTACCCCTACCCCCCTGCATCTTCTCAGATGGACACACTAATAAACAAAAAGGTATCATCAAGGAAACTATGTCTCCATGTAGACAATAGAAACTTCAGCCAGCTACATTGGGTGCTAGCAGGAATGAATAGAGATGAAGATGTATTGCAGTATAGATAATTAGGTGGAAAATTGAAATTCAACATCTAGGAAAGTGAAAAAGCATGAGATGGTAAGCAGACTCATTAAATGATCACAGGGTAACTAACCCCATTATGTGTGCAATAGGTCACACTCAGCAGAAAAGTTGCAGATACAAGTGAAACTCTCAGTTTCTCACAAATGTGTGTACTATAGTGAAGTGACAGCCTTATAAAACTAATATGAACATTCCAAGGTATGGAAATAATTCAGGAATTAGTATCCATTCTGCGATTACAGACTGTAGTCTCTGGCCCACAGTAATCTGAGGTAGGCACTCAAGATGGTTAGGAAAAAGATAACATTAAATGATAAAGGGAAAACGTCAGTTTAAACAATTTGATGCTGAGGTGCTCTGAGGGAAATTACTCCAGGAAAGGGCCAGTGACGTCAGCAAGTCTACATCATTGAAATGTAAATGGCAATCACAGGAAGGCTTTGTGGACAAAGTCTGTGAAGAGCTGCTACATACTGTGTCCTGCTGCCTCACCAGCTCAGGCCCAGCCAGGTCCCCAAACACTCACCATCTAGGAAGCACCACCGAGGAGACAACCTCTGAGCTGAGAGCGCTCTGGGGAAGGAGGGTTCTTGGTCCTGGAAAGAGACACACAAGTTCTCATGGCTCCATTTGAAGGACAGGAGGAGCTGCCCCACCTCCCTTTCCTTCCACTCCACACACTGGGAGGTAAGCAGTCTTTTCACAAGAAAATACTAGAGCAAAGAAAAACTCCCACACAAAAGTTCCAGGAGAGATTCCACTGTTGCATCCAAGATTGAGAAGGGACCTATGCAGAGGCTCACTTCCGCTGGAGAAAGTGCATTACTTTCTTGCCCTTTGTGAAATGGAGGAGTGGCCTGAATTATGTTTCATTCTCTATATCTGTAAAAGGGATGAACACAGATAAAACTGGGAAAGGTATGAACTTTCTCCACCAGTCAGACAGGACTTACAGCATATAAGAGACATGAGAAGCCATGTATAGGTAGTGGTGGGTCTCCAGGGGACTTGGGGAGCAGGTGCTATGCAGAAAGAAACCCTAGTTCATGCTGTGTTGCGTCTGTCTCTCTGCACTTAGCCCCGCCCATCCAAGATTACAGGGTGGCAGGAAAGGAAAGAATAACTGCGTCAGGCTGTCCTTTGGGAAACTTGTCTGTCCCCCACTGACCCATTAGCAATGTGCACCTCTACCTTAGCATTCTCTAGGATTCTCACTCCAAAGATGGCCAATACTTAATCTTACTTGATCCAAAGGCCATCTGATATAAATGCATTCTTTCCTCTAGTTTGAGATTCAAATAGTTCCTCTCCAAAATTAAGCATTTTCTAGTCACCCCCATCTTCCCAAGAAACTTCCTTCCTGTCAGATTATTAAGACCTGCTCTGCTACTCTTGAACTCATCGCTCTCTTCACAATGGTTCCCTCTCTCTAAAAGCAAATGTCCCTCAATTGATCCCATTTCATCTTCTTTGTCATGTTTGAGTCATCCCTTCTTTGCCCTGCCAAAGTCCTGAAACATGCATCCTGTCCCTCTCCAGGGACACTCCCAGGTACACATTTGATCATCCCTAGGAATCAGTCCTTCAGAATCTTCCCAGAGAGCGCCAAGAGCACCCCCACCTTCCTGAGTTAACAGTCTGAGTCTTCACACTTCCTTGGAGTTTTGAAGGTTTTGCTTTTTTATTTTTTCACAATTAAAAGGTAATTACATCATTTTCCCCTTTCTCTTTTCCCCCTCCAACTGTTCCCATGTGCTCCCCCTCTCTGCTCTCTCTTAAATTCATGGCCTCTGGCCTCTTTTTCTTCAACTAATGATACATATAATCTGTTCAAAGCACATAATGTTACTTGTAGGTATATAATTTCAGGGATGACCATTTGGTACTAGATAACCAATTTGGGGGCTGATACACAGAGCCAACTATTTCTTAGGCTCTTGGCATTCCTTGGCTGCCTCCAGTTCTTTGTCTAGGGTTGGGGGCCCCTAGTCCATTAGCAAGTCTGTTGGTGTCCTCCAGGTCTTCTTTACTTTTGTCAAGAGAGTAAAGGACAGGGACAGAAGAGCACACTGGGGCCTGGCAGCAGGGGGGAAGAGTGAGGACTGTCTCCTCATGCTTCCAGATGTGCAAAAGTCAAGAAGCACTCCTCTGAAGAGGTGCTCACTAGTGATTCCTGGGAAGGGTGCCTTCTAATGATGGCTGGAGGAAAACTGAACTCATTGACAGAAATGGCACAAGTAATGGCGAGCAGGCCTCTGTGGGGGAGATGCAGGGAACTTGACCGTTCTTGAAGACGTAAAAGTTTCAATTACAGGGAACATCCGCGGAAGGCAGATATGCTGAGACTGAGGTAGACTTGGCAACGGAAGCCAAGTGTGGATGGCCCGGTGTATTCTGATGAGACAAGGAAGGAAAACAGAAACGGCACCGGAGAAATGACAAGAGCCCATCAGAGGCCACCTGGACTTCCTCCCGAGGGAGGCTATCCCGCCTCAGCCACTGCCTCACTCAGTCTTCAGGCAAAGCAACCTAGGAACAGCAAGCAGCACCAGTGGATGCTTGTTGGAAACAAAGACTGCAGCTCTGCAGAAGGCTGCAGTGAGGTGCAATCTGCTCCACAAGCCATTTAGATGAGTTTGGTGCATGATGAGAAACCATGGGTTTGGGCAGGGCAAAAGAGATCCATCCATTTTACCACCAGAAGCCGGATCTAGACAGAGTTTTCTGCTCAAATAGATTCTATAAATCAAAGAACTGATAGAGGAGTCACTGGCCTCCCTCCAGGCTGTCACAAAAATGGATCTTTATGCAGCTGATTTGCTAAAGCTATCCATGCAGATCTCGAGCTGGCTTTGTCAACTCGCTGGCTGAGCTAAATGAAATCTCGGCATTTGCTCAGTTGCCATGTTTATGAGAACTGTGTTTAATGCTTTGAGAATTGTATTTTGACACATGACAGCTGTATCTAAAGAAACTTAAGGTTCTTAATATATTTTTATAAAATGTGTTATGCTACCAACACCTCGTAGGTTTGGGTAAGAGAAAAATACAACTATATGCCAAGAAATCTGAAATGATTTGAAATGTTTATTGGTAGCTGCGAAAATTAATAAAGACATTAAGCAAAGATGACTATCTCCTTAAAGAATAAAGTGGCTCAAACACCCAGGGTGCTTTCTGAATCTTAGTACTATTTTCTGTAAATAACACTCAACAGAAAGAGTATAGACGTACTTGACTTACCATTTTTAAAACATAAGGATATGCAATGTGCTCCTCCACATACACACACACTAAATACATGTAAGAATACTTGTGAAAAATTTGTGTGAATTTGGCAGGCCCATGTGTACATGCATTTTCCAGGAGAGATGAACTCATCTTTCTACAGATTATCAAAGTAATCTCAGATTCCTGAAATGCCAAAATAATCTAAAATTTTAATTTAAATAATCCAAAATTTAGGTAAAAAGAAACTCCACACAATAAGAATATCTGGATCAGTAGAAACATCTTAAAATATCCAAAGACTCAAAAGCAGGAACTGCTGTTTCCAAGTTGCAGGTGACTCAGTCCAAGGTTGTGGCTATTCCCTTAGTGGGAAGTTGAATCACTTTCTGTACTAGAAGGAGTCAGTGGCCCTTTTGTTCATTCCCATCATAGTCCCTCCAATATATTCATGTTTAGAGCCTTAAGTTCTACATATTGTCATTAATTTTTTTAATTGCATCTACTGATTTTATGTGTATGGGTGTTTTACCTACATGTATTTCTGTGCACCATGTGTGTGCCTAGTGCCAATGGAGACCAGAAGAGGGCATTAGATCCCTTGAGACTGAAATTACAATCAATTGTGAGATGCTATGTGGGTGCTGGGAATTGAACCTGGTGCTCTTAACCATTAATCTACCTCTCCAGTCTCCTTTATTGTCATTTTTTTAAAGGAGGAAAGATTTAGACTGAATACAATAGAGCCTTAATAATGAAGTTGAGTAGTACATCATTGATAACAATATAAAGAGCTGTGGTAAGAAATCAATTTTACTGAAAAGAAAAGGAAATACTTGCTTGGTGAATGAAGCTTGGCTGCAGTTTGGGAGGCTGTTGGAGAAACACAGATGGAGACCTAACTTCTCAGGGATGCTGCCTTGAAACAGATCTGTATTCGCTCTAAGTGAGCTCACAAAAGGACAGCTATTAGCATAATGAGGTCTTATGCCACAGTCATTAGCATTCCAAAGAAAAGGTAATTAATATATTCTTAGATATACACTGAAATCCAAGTATCTATTTTTTAAAATGTACACGTGGAGGGTTGGGGAGAGAGCTCAATGGCTATATTCCCAGGCAGACCCTGTGCATGGTGCTGCTGCCTTGGCACACTGATGCACCAGTGCAGTCAAGCTCAAGTGAAGAAAGACTCAAAGAAAAGCAAGAAACGTCTCTGAGCAGACACGAAGGAAGCATGGCACTAAACAAAGGCTGAAACCATGCTGCTGGTTGGTTTGATTCTTGCAAGGCTTGTCTCACCCAGCAACCCCACAGTTCTTTCTACATTATGAAGGATATGTGAATTACTTAAAAAAAAAATGGGACATTAATCCCCAAGGCAAATATCAGGTATCACTGACAGCAATGCTTTTCCAAACACTGTCTACTGTTTCTCTTTCCCATCACTCATCATTCTGATTACTGGATACTTAAGTTTCACAAAAATCAACTTCTCCTGTGCTAACATGGTTATCCAATTGTTACATAACTATAAAATGATTACTATGGTGATTGATTTTTAAATGTTTATTAATTAAATCCAGCAAATTATAAGACACGTCTTTCAGAGGCTATAAAGAGTGAAGTTTGGCACAACAACCTCAACAGGATGACTTCTAACCTGAATACTCTCCTCATTCTCATGTGGATCTACTTTGGGAATTCCTGTGCAGCCAATACACCAAGTCTCAATTTCTTTTCCAAAAGGAAGGGCATTTTAATTATGGTTTAAACTTATTTCCTGGCTATTGCTACAAAGCCACAAATGTAGGGGGAAAGATTTTAAAGTCTGCAGCCAAAAGAATCAAGAGTCAGCAGAGGACATAAATTAGGAGTGAAACAAAAGGCTTAGCTCACATTTCATAAAGCCCTTCCCTTCCAAGTATGAAATGTATGGCTAAAGTCTTTGGTCTGAGGCAGCAGATTTCAAACAGTTCTGGTGCAGATGGATGACTGGGCCGTGCCAACGGACACCATCCAGAACCATCTGGTCCAGTTCTACTAAGCTGACTGACAAGGCATCAAGGAGGACAGGCGGCTGCTGACTCTTTCCCTCCTCTGTTCCTCCCTTCTTCTCTTGGTCCTCCACCTACAGCTTCTGCACTGAGCCATCTCCATTATCTAGCATTGAAAGATGGCAAACGACAGCTATCTAGAAAATATCCAATCATCTCTGGAGAATTTCAGAGGCTGGTGACTTGTTTTATTTCTTTAACAGGGAACACCCTTCCTGTGCCCCCAATTATTTTCCTTTTAGTTTTTCAAAAACCTGGATTTACATATACATCCTTTGATGGCTCTAAATGAAATACAATGGAGACTATTT